TGTGCCCCTCTTCACCACCTTTTGCCTCCACCTGAATTTACCTCTTTCATAAAAACCCCCACGTTTGACAAGCTTCAATTTCCTCGACGCAACGAAAATCATCCTGTCCATTTTTCAGCTTCTTTCTCTGCCTATCTTTCCCTCCTCTCTGCCAACCCCACGACGGCAATCACGGTCATGAAGTTGCCGCCCATGTTGCTGCTTTCTTGACGATCGCACCGCAGACATTTCTCATTTCTTGGTGCAGCCACAGAATTGGCAAGTCACAGCGGCCCTCCGGCCTCGCCGTCTACCGAAGCACGCATGCAGCAAGCGAGCAAAAACTGTACGACCATGAGCTCGGCCGCTTGGCCCAATCATCCCCTCTTCTTTTCCCCCTCTTTCCCTCTACCTACACCTACATTCTCTTTTTTTCTATCACCTATGGCAATGTGCAACACCAGGTTTCGGAGCCTGCGCGTCGTTCACCAAAAGTTCGCTTCAGCTCTCTTCCTGCCTCGTCCTCCCCCAAGCCCTGTGACAGGTTGCTGGCGGTTATCCGGTCTGTACACGCTCGTCATAGCTGAGCTCAGCGGCGCGGGAGGAGTTGAAGGGGTTAGGCTGAGGCGACATGTTCTGAGGTGAGCTGCCGCTGCAGGGACGGCTTGGCTCAGCAGCATCACAAAAGGTTGATGACAGCCTCCTTGAGAGCTGCTGAACATGGTCTTGCACCAACGCCCACCTCATCACTTTATGCAAGGCGCGTTGCGGCGAGGACCGTCGATTCGATTCTGACGCCCCCATCCTTCTTATTCTGCTCATTTCTCCTCTTTGTCACATCCCATCACCGCGACGGGGGTCAACGGTGAGTTATTGCAGATGTGGTTTGTCACATCAAACCCTCCTCGCCCCTATCATTAATGGCTTGTCTACCCTCTTACCTCATTTTGCCAAGCAAGGTGTTCGCTTCATGGCGTTCATCAATATCTTCGTCTCAACTGGTTGACGTTGATATCTGAGCTCAATGGCTAGATTGACATATTTCAAACCCAATGCTGGGCGCCCGTGTTGACCGTCTCGTCTTGAGCTTCACATGATATGCGGGAATCAGTGGAGGTTACATATCAATACCCCAATCAACAATGTCCGTTGTTGTTGTGGTAGATGGTACCTTAGTTCTGGGGGAGGGGGGTTGATGAGGGGGAACCTACCTCTCGCTGGTCCAGATGTTCGCGGGTGATGGTGCCATTCATGGTCCGTCAACCGGGCAAAGGGGAGGGTAGCCATCAATCAGCATCATGAACCATTCAACTGGGAGCTGTGGTGGTGGTGTGTTCCCCTCTCTTTTGTTCCTGTCCATAACGCCTCTTTCTTCCCTCACCCACGTAAACGTGCAGAATAGTTCTGCGAATATCGTAAAAGTAGAAATGCCCGTGGCTCGTTCCATTTGGCGTTTCCATGGTTGCATCTGATTGTCTACCAACACGTTGTCGACCACACACACCTCACCCTCTTTCAGTTGCACGCACCACACCTTTACCAATTATGTTCTTCGTAGACGTCATGCAACATGCTGAAAACCTCTGGAAAGTCAATGTTCTCGAAACGCATGTACCCTCTACAGCACCAACCCCCAATCCAGCCCTTCTGAGTTCTGGCCCACACATTCCCCATCAATAGACAACCAGACAACCTGCCCGCTGTCTTGTACAACTTCTCGAGGGCTTTGAGGGGCAGGTAGTCGGCTTGCCGATTTCAGGTCGGACGGACATCCCGCCGTGTGTACCCGTACCGTACACACTCGCCCTACTTGCCCGTACTCATGCCTGCCTGCCGCTCTCGTGTGCCGCCCGTGTGCGGTGTGCCTGCCAATGTTCTGTTTCTGTGTCACGTCATTGTCGATTGTTATGGAGGACGGTTGTTGACTTGTTCGGTTGTCGGGGCGGGACCGGAAGGGGTGGTGGTACGAACCCACGGTCCTCACCTACCTCACCGTGCTCGTTCAGTACGGCTGCTGCACGGGTAGCGGATTGGAATAGGACGGCTCCTGATGCTTTCAGCACTTGGACCGAACTTAAACCAGATCCCAGACAGAGGCTGAGAGGCTAGAGCAGGTACATACCAGATAGTACCATGCAAGCCTCAGGTGAGGTTGAAATTATTAAGCTTCAGCTTTCTTCTTCTTCTTTTTTTCATCCCCCTCTCATAGTCTGTATTCCTTAGCTTACTCTACTCCGGCGTTTTAGCGCCAGCTGCCAACTAGGTCCGTATGTCAATATCCGCCGATACCCGGCGCGGCCGGTGGTCGGCATGCGGGCCACGGTGGACAAAAAAAAAAGACGTTGTGCGCCGCGGCCGTCTCTACTCCTGAGTGCTGAAAGATGGAAAGCATGGAGACACAAACCAATCTCCTCTCGGAGTTCGGCAGCCGGTTACTCATCATGACGGGATAGACGGGACATACCGAACATGGACATGTTGTGGCACTTCGCAGTCGCCGGTGCCGGCGCCGGTTTCCGGCCGCCGAGTGAGTCGCTCTGTTAACACCACCCTCGGCCGGTATGGTGCCGCCGGGCTTGCTTACCTCAGCTGTTTGAGACGGAGATGGAGATGCGGGAGATAGTCCGATCCGCCACCTGTCTTCCCGATCATCACAAGCCAGGTTGGCATGGAGAGATCGTCATTCTTGGATGTCCGGGTAGGACTGGGTAGGACAGTAGTATGACAGCCGTCAAAAGGCATGGTACATGGAAGGGGACGGCAGCTATGCTGTGCAGCTATGGACCACAATGTGGGCTATGTTGTGTAAGGCTTCGAGAAGGGGAAGACAGGAGGACTGGTGGGCTTCTGTTACACCTTGGGTTACATACCTCACCAAGTGTCGATCTGTCGTTCCGCGCGCGCCCGGAAATGGTGAAGCAAACAAAGAAACAGTAGGTACAGATAGGCGTACAGAAAGGGGTTCTGGAACTTGTGGTGGGTAAATGCCAAGTGGGATGAAGCTTAACGGGCTGGGATACAAGTAAAGCCTTGTCTCATGGATGGGTGTTCGTCAACGTCGTTCAACATCTTTGTGTGTTCAGGACTCTGGTTGTCTAGGTAAGTCTGCGCGGCCTGGACGACTGATTGGAAGTGAGGCTGCGGAACAGAAGTCACCAGAAGACCTGGCTTGTTTATTTACTTCCATCTTGCACTGCCTTCTATTTCCATGGACATGGCCAACTGCCGTCTGTCGTATGTTACTTGAGTGGCACTGCGGCTGACACGGCGTTGCCGTGCTTCTTCTTCTAGACCCCTTGTTTGTTCCAGTTCGGCTGGCTTGCCGAACTCGTATTATGTGAGGCATGTATGGAACTTCCATGTTTTGTCAGATTTCGCTATATTGGATACGAATGCTTATTGGCATCTACGGTGTTGTTAAGTTTTGAGTTACAAGACACCAGCTGTAGAGATGCTCATTATCGTCGCTTGTAGGGAATACCGTTTTGAAGAAAGAACCATTCACCTGGCTCAATATTGACTCCAAGGTGCGCTACAGGCTCGGATGTTCCCGTCTCTTACGGTCAGTGTGTCGAAGAATTCACCACCTTCTTGATAAACCTCAGTTATATCGGTGCCCCAATTTGCGCAATGTCTCTCCAGTAGGTGTTGAGTTAGGATCCCTTTCAACAGCCCTGTGGTAACATATGGCTCACTTATGGTCAAACTCTCCTTTTTTGCGACCTATTTGTCAAGTGTGTAGAAGAAAGCAATAAACATAACTCCAGCATGTATTTCGAAACCTCCCAGCCATTCCCAGTAGGTCACAACCCTGTCTCAGATCTGCCGTGATCCTGTATCATCTAAAGTAAACCAGGCCGCCGCACCACAGCAGACGGGTTAGAAGTTGATAGCATGTCAAGTCAAAATGCCACCTGGAGACATGTATAGCTTAGACAGAAGTTCATGCGAAACAGTTTGTGTATGTTTCAACGGCCAGGAAGGTTTCCTAGATGATGACGACGACAAAGGCACAATGAAGCAGAGCCGCCTACGGCACATCAAGGGGATCCCGTTCAACAACCAGCACAACTCATCCACTATAACTACACAGGCGGATAGCCGTTTCAAATGCTACCGAAACCAAACCAGACCTAGTACCGCACGCTTCGGCCGCTCTATCCGTCGCTAAAAAAAAGCCTCAGAGGACTTCGCAGCGTCAGCTTCCGTGGAGTCTCGAGAGGGTAGATAGTAGCATGTCCGTTTCTTCGGGTCGCGACCCGACTTTCCGGGGGTACATGCGGTCAACTGCGTAGCCGTTGGGTGTTGTGGGTTGCCATGCTTCCCACGCTGATGACTTGCATGTTTGGGTTTTTCGCGGATCTCGGAATTCGGGATGGGCCTGCACATGCTGCTGTAAGGAACGGGATAAGCTTGTTGATGGGCGGGCGTCTTCATCGTATAATAACGCTCGGAATATTGGCCGAAAGAAAGAAACAAAAGTCATGAAATCCGTACTGTAAAAGGCGACAGTGTGAGGTTTGTTGGAAGGTTGGGTATTCGTCGGGGTAGGCTGTGTAAATAGTGGAAATAGCTTTCACGGGCAGTGAGCTCACCAAAAAAGGGCCATTATTTTATTCACACAGCGAGTAAACCTAAGGTAACAGTGAAATGGTACCTGCCAAGCATTGTGGTTCCCGATTCCGCTTTCGCAGCGTGCCTTCTCCGCACAATGACAGTTGCCGATTGTGTCATTGAACCACTGCCAACAACGCCGGGCCGAGGTCAGACAGCTGGTACCATAAGAGGTAGTGTACACCTTCATCATCACCACTCACCGTGAGAACCATCGAGACATCACCGCACGACTCAACAAGAAGTGATCTGATATCAGAATTGAGTTCAGGATATTCACAGTTTCAAATCTCCGTTGCCAAGAATCCCGAAGAGCCGCTTGTTCGACGCGGAAGTCGCCAAGACTACTGTAGATAGCTTCTTTTCTCATTTTCATAGACACTGCCGACGAATTCATAACCGCCATCATGCCCGAAACTATCAAGCAATACCCTGACCCGGACAAGTGAGTGCAATCTTTGGATGCCTCAAATCGGATGTACGACTGACAACGATGTAGGCCTGTCCACATTGTCTTTGTGGGTGCTGGTGCCGTCGGTTGTTTCTATGCCTCCAGATTACATCACGTAGGTTCATCCCGGTTTGTTTACTTTACATCTCACAAGTCAGGGGTGAAGCGAAACATCGCTTGGCTGCTCATCATCCATCCTCACCCGCCCTTTCCCATTGTTCGCCTATGGACACTCAACTAACACTCAACAGCCCTCCAAAAACATCCACGTCTCCCTCATCGCCCGCTCCAACTACAAAGCCCTCCTAGATAACGGCGTCAAACTCCAAACCCACTCATTCGGCGACTACACCTTCACTCCGCACGCCGTCTTCCCCAACGTCGAGGCCGCCGCTTCCGCTCCTCAACAATGGGACTACGTCATTGTAACCACCAAAGCGCTTCCGGACCGCGGTGACGACTCGGCGCTCATCGCCCCGCTCATCGGTCCCAACTCGTGCATCGTCCTGATCCAGAACGGCGTCGGCGTCGAAGCGCCCTACCGCACCCGTTTTCCCTCGACACCCATCATCAGCGCCGTCACCGTGGTGTCTGCCGAGCAAATCAGCTTGGGAGTCATCCGGCAGAATAGGTGGACGCGCATTCATTTGGGGCCCTACTCTAACTCGGCTAGTTTTGACACTAGCACGCCTATTACCAAAGATCGGGCTCCCGTTCCGAGTGGTGAAACAGGAAGTCTAACACCCACCGGCTCCGGTGCTCCCTCTTCATCTCCACCGCCATCCCGCTACCTATCCAACTCCGACCTCGCCCTCCAAAAAAGAGGTTACGACCTCGCCTCCCGCCTCACCTCCTGGCTCGTCCACCACGGCTCCATCCGCGACGCCCGCCTCTCCTCGGAATCCCACCTCCAGCTCATCCGGTGGCACAAGCTCTGCATCAACGCGGCCTTCAACCCCTGCTCCGTCCTCTCCGGCGGCTTGGGAAACGCCGAGATGGTGCGCGACCCGGAACTCCGCCTGTTTTTGTCAGCCATCATGTACGAGATCTGGGATGCCGCGCCCCTGATTTTGGGACTACCGAAAGGTGAAGGCTTCGATAAAGATCCCAAGGGGTTTGCCACTCCCGAAAAGATCTTGAAGTCCACGGAAAGGAACGTGGGCAGCAAGCCTAGTATGTTGATCGATTGGGAACAGGGGAGGCCGATGGAGTTGGAGGTTATTGTGGGTAACCCCGTGAGGATTGCGAGGGCGAGGGGGGTGGAGATGCCGAGGTTGCAGGGGGTTTATGCTTTGTTGAGGAGTATGCAGAATGTGAGGGAGAGGAGAAAAGGGCAGGGGAAGTTGTAGGCTGTGGTGGGAGGTGGGAGGTGGGAGAATAGATGTGGCTTGGTGCGGTGTGTTGAGCGAGCGAGCGAGCGAGCTTTGTCACGGTTCTTTGGCGATAGTCTAATCCAGGCTTGGGACTGAAGGGTTTGGATGGTGGCATGCACGTAGAGACACGTAGTTTACAGTATATCAGGATAGAAGATTGGAGAACAAAAGATGTTGATCACTTCACTCACCATCTGCCGTTGTATCCAATGGACATGAAGCGAGGTTGGTCTTGCCCGTCCATCCATCAAGCGTTCAGTTCAAGTGAGCTTTTTGAATCTTGTCAGTAAGCCACTCGAGTGGCATTTTGGCAAATATGTAGTGGCACTCAGCACAATAACCAAGCTATCTATGCAACACCGACAGTTGGGCCGTAATTCCATTCTAACAATGGCAGCTCTAGAAGAATGGATGTTCGCCATTAATCAATCCTTACCTGCATCGACACGGAATCGGTCTCCCCCAAGTTTGCAACCGAAACCGAGACGTCAGTGAAGTGACATGAGAGAATCGTCATCCTTCATTGCCTCACTTCGTCCTTCATAGCGCACTATCAGTCAAGGTTCAATATCTCATCGGCGTGATCCGTGTGTGGGCTTGGCGAGTCTCGATCGAACACATCCATTATCTGCACATACGAACGTAATGTGGCGAAGAGCACTGACTGCACTCAGGCGCAGAGCACCGTTCGTTATTCACATACAGGCGGGCCGGGTGTGCTTTCCCGCTGAGTGTCCAATCCAAATTTCCCACACTTTTACCTACTGGGGAACTTCGCGAAAAAAAAATAGGGAAGTCACGACTCAGACCGTCGGGTCTGAACTTGGCGGTCGAACCACCCGTCGAGAAGTATCTACATCAAGCGGGCAGGAGCGATGGAGAGCAACGGCGAATGCGGGAGCAACCAGAAAATGCCCGAATCGAATCGAATCGTGGGATGTCACTACCTGTACTATTTATTCCCATACCCGTCCGTATCACTTCTCCGGCGTTGGCGTCCTCGAACATGGAAGCTTTTTCAATCCAGCACCTGTGGTCGGGGTTTCTCAGATAGAAATCCTTCTACATGCCTGTATGGGGTCAACTGACCTACGTTCTGAGAAGTACCTATGACGGGGGGAGGCCGAGGTCTGGCTGATTGATGGTTTGACTGCGTAGGTACGTATAAAGTAAGCAAGCAGCGACGAGCACATGCTGAGTATTGATATCAGATTGAGTTGAAGGGCAAAGTAGATAGATGATGAGTAATACCTAAACTACCTACGGGGCAGGGAAGCACACGCATAACCTTAAGTATGTGTACGAGGTGAGGATGATGTTGTTTCTTCTGTTATTTGGTCCAGATATCGGCAGGATGAAGGAGGAAATTTCCTATCCAGTGAGGTTGTTGATAGCAGCTGGAGCACTGGAGGAACCAAACTACTACTACTACGGTGGAACTGGTTTGGCGATGATAATATGAGCGTAAAATAGTTACCAATTCCTACCTACTAGGTCTCCATTGTGTATACCACAATAGATTGGCAATGACTCCTCTGAACTCATGTACTCAAGTATCTTTACGCCCCAAAGATACTGACCCAAGTCCAGGACGATTTGTACCAACATGAAGGTGAGCAAGTCCCTGATCGTCACAGTTTGGCAAGCTGAATAAGAAGTGTATCACGGCGCCACTAGGTACCTTGGTCAGAGTGGCCATCACCGGCCTCATAGCTGTGAAACCCATCGAGAATGAAAGCCACCCGCACCAGAACCTCTCCCTCGCAAAGCCTGATGGTCCCTGCCACGACAAGACACAATGTACCTCTAGTGTGCTTTATAACCTCCAGCTTGAGATGAAACAACCACATACGACCATACCCACTGGAAAACTCGGGATCCCGTCCGCTCTCCCATAGATAAGCCAATGAGGGCCAGACTAGTAGTTGGGTCGGTGACGACCAGCGAATCCCTGGTGTTGTATGTTTTTTTCTATCTTTTTTCTTTCACCTCTTTGACTTGTTCTCTTCCCGGGCCTCATCCTCTTTCGGCAAGCTTTTTCCTTCATGCGGACATGATCTTCTTCGTTGTTGTTGCCTTTGGTGTTGGATGTAACGGCTCCGCGGCCCGGTATCTATCGCGATATGACTCGAGTCAAAAGAAGTTTCGTGGTGTGCTCAACTTTTCAACCCTTTGTCCGATGCTAGATTATCGTCCTCCTCGAACTCTTCGTCATCTATGCCGTCATTGCCGATGCTATCATCCGTAGTAATTTCCACCTTTTCTCTGCTGCTGGAAACCACACGTTATCCTCCTCTTCAGAATGATTCTAACATGTCGTGGTGAGTAAGTCATCATTCTGGGACTTGTCGTGTTCAACAAACTTGTTGCTGTCCGTAGAAAACATGGCAGGTGAACTGAAAGCGCGCAATATTTTTTCTTTCTTTGTGTTCTTTCATTTTGCCCGTGTCTCTGACAAGGTGATTGGAGCTTCGTAGATTCACTTGTCGAGACCGGCGAGGCACGGCACTACGTGCTCCACGTGCTCCGTTGACTGGAACTTTTTTGGATGATCGTTATCCGGCGGTGGAGGACAGTTCCAGTTGTTTGGAGCGATCTCTAATGTTAAATGATGCGAGATTCGCTTTCACATGCCATAAGGCCCAAAGCGGTAACGCGGAGAGCCACCGCACCCGGATGTGTTGTGGTTGATATGCGCGCGTGTGTATAGACCCGCCGCCATGTCCATAGAGGTGTTGTGTAAATATTGTTAGAGGCATGTCCTTCACGTTGACCTCAAGCATAACAGTGAAGTGTTGGTGATAAGAACTTTCTCAAGTCCGAAGGATCAGATGGCTGAGAAAACCCAGCTCGACCCTAGCGAGGAACCGCCCAGCATAGGATGGTCAACTTTGACTTTGAGCGGCTCACGATGGAACCAACAACGGTTCGGCGTGATGACTTCATCAAGTTGAGGTCCGAGGATCCAAATAGCTGCTCATGGTCATGGAGAGGAGGAAGAATAAGTAAAATTAAGAGGTGTTGGTGATACCGAAGGCCATCTGGTCAAACGGTTACGGTCGGTCCATAGAGATATTGACCCGAGTGTGAAGTGACCTTGGGGGCCCAACCGGGGATCGTGATAAGATGCGGTTCTGCGTTCAGTGTCCTAGGTTAATCGGATTCGTTGAGGGCGTTTGGAGGTCATTCCTGTCATTGTCGTGTTTCCTATTTGATACTTTAGTCCTTCCATCTTTGTCCCTGAATCAGGGTCCGATGTTTCCCCCTGGATGACCCAGGACGGGAAGTCGGGAACAAGTGGAAGCAAAATATCGGACAACAACTTCCGACCCCTCTGACTCTGTGGACAGATGCGGTAGTGGTGGTACCCCCCTGGCAGTCGCTAACAGTTGGCCCTGCACTACCTCCATGTAGAAACCGGCCGGTAGCTCTTAAAAAAAAGGCCCTAAAAACTCACAGGATAAAGGTGACGTCATGTCGTAAGCCGTTAGACTGACGTCGCGTATTTTAGTGTAAGTTGATGACCTCATACAAGAGCGACTTTTTCCTGTAGCTTTAAAGGTTATTTTGGGTACTGGCGTATGGTAGAGTGTTCGCTTTGTGTTTCGTCTTAGCGGTGCAAAATGCTCCTTTTTGAAGCGACAGTTATAGCGCGGGTAGGGTGCCTGTTAGTGAACAGATCGGGAGGAAATGTGCCTCTTTTTCAGATGATCGATTCGGGCCCGGGGAAAGAGACAAACCGTTCTGGTGGGGTTCCGTCTGCAGGTGCTCCCGGCCTGGACTTGCCCTCGCCTAATTTTGTGGCCCATGCCGGAGCGTTTACCTCTGTTATAGCCATTGACCCTTGGCGGGAACAAGCGAGCATGGTGTTTATAGCAGATGGTTCCAGACTCAACGGCTCTGTGCGTGGGGTCACTGCTGCGGCAATCTTCTTACAGAGTTACTAAGACAGTGCTACTCCTCGTTGACACCAGGCCACTGTTTAGACAAAAGGTCTCGTACAATAAAACGGAGCTCTTTGAACGGGTAAGAGATGGTCGCCGCTGTTGTTGTTTGGTGTTTCACAATTTCCTCTTCCAAGAAAAAACACAAAAAGAATGGAAGGGTTCAAGCAGAAGGCAGGTCCTGACTGGTTGTCGGTTTTTTTTTGTGCACATGCGCTATCGAGGAGTCATTGAGAATTTACCGTAACTCGACAAGATCGGCCAAGAGGCAACCACCATTGCTTTCTCTCTGTTTCGTCTTTTCTTGCGGACGGATGGCGGCGGCACTTGTCTTTGGCCACGGTTACAAGTTCCGGGCCCCGTCCCCTGTGTGGCTGAACAGCTTCCCGTCCGCCAGCATTTCCGATTCTCTTTGTTCGAATCGCAGCGGACTGTGGCTGTGGCAGAGATCTTGCCTCCTCGAGGTTCCAACAGAGTGGTAAAGAAGACATGTGCCTGTCCATCTTTGCCGTTAACAATCAGGCGCCACTGTCAATTTGTCTTTGAACCAGTCAACGGGAAGAGAGTCTCTTTTGAAACTCTCGATATCGGAGATGCACATTTCAGAGTCAAGAATATGATGGGCCTGCGGCTACAAGGCTAAAAGGCTGACATGGAACAGCGAATCTTTAGGATTTCTCAACGCTTTTTTGCCTTTTCCAGGAAACTTCAGCTGACGCAGGTGGCGGTTACCCAGTCGGTTCAAGTCGGCCCCAGCCGTCCGATGGACCTTTTGCCTCCAACGTCTTGGCAATATCGCTCCCAAAAACCCCCCAAAAAAAACCGCAAAAAAAACCGTACGATAGCGTTGGATTCGAACCCTGGGAATGTGCAAACCCTCAGCAGATTCACTCTCGAGAGGGTAGGAATGATACCTATTCACAGACGACAACAGCAATTCGTCATTTTTCACACACTTTGATATACTCACCTACTTACTGCACCTCCAACTCACTAGGTAGCATATCTAGAGGTACCTAGGCATCCGTGCTGACCACTGCAGCTCATACATTATTCTTTCACACAGGGGCAGCTTCCACTTCTGGTGCAGAGCTCACACGAAAAAAGAAGCAGACGGCTTGGCCGCCTCTCCGAGACTGTCTCATCTGCAGTGGTTGAGATCCGTCTCCCGACCTAACCTAACCTAATCCGAACCTTTTTTTTTCTTTCAGGGTCGTACGCAGCTTGGGCTCAGCTGTGTGTTACCAAAACACAACGGCGTGCACAATCTTGGTCCTGGCGCCGTTTCATTCTCACATTACACATTACAACTCTCTTTTGCAGCTGCTTTGCTACTTTCCATTTGACCGTCGTGGTCTGTACATTTTATTGTTTTCCTTGCTCTGGTCGCCACACGTTGTCGCACCCTTACACCCTAGCATCTGACACATACACACACACTGTCGACACTGTATGCGCACATTGGCCAGAACTCTTGCTCCCTGGTAAACCTGGAATGACGGGCTGCGGCCACAAGCATCAGCAACAGAAACCCCATGTTGATCAACCGACCAGACAGATGGGTTTTTCCTAGATCTGCATACTTCCATCCGCCCTCCATCCGGCCTCCATCCGGGAACCGCACAAACGATCGGCCCCTCCAGTTTTAGACTCTGGCCTGTTGAACGATTCAGTGTGCCCTCCACCAGAGCATCCTCGCAGCCCCCGCTCCATCAGTCGACTGACGACTCAGTCCGTCCAACTTTCGGATACACCATCACTACCCATACTACAACACTCGACATCAGTTGAACCGATCAACGGTCACTAGGCACCCCCAAGAATCCCCCCCTTGAACCTCGCCCGCTTCTCCCACATTCGCCCTTGACCATTCAGCCCCGTGAGACAAGGTGGAAACTGTGGATCGCGACGCCAAGGAAATATCCTCCTCGACCCTCGACTTCTCCTCCTCCAGTTCGATTTTCTTCCGTCCCGTCTAGCCGCGCTATTCTTCCGCTTCTGAACCTATCGCGACCTCGTATTGCCCGCCCTATCTAGTGTAGCTACAACTACCTGATCTGATCGGCCTAGTCTCCTTACTCCGTGACGGTACCGGTACGGCACTCCATCCACATCTCCCCCCTCACCTACCCCCCGTCTACCATATTCTGCGCCCCTCCCATCCATCTCGGTTTGCGTTGCGATCCACATCCTGGCACCCCTTGACCGTTATAGTTGGCAGTCTGGGTTCTGGCTCTGACTTCTCCGCAGTGACCCTGGCCCTGAGTTGGACACTCTGCCTTTTTACCGTACACTGTTGAGCTTTCTACCTACCGCGGACCCGCGCTCACTCCGGCTCCCAGGCTCTGAGGCGCGAGGTGTGTTATGTTTCTGCTCTGTCTTGCGTGGTGCTCCCCAGTGTCTTTCAGGACATCTCCTCTTTAGATGGGCCTGTACGAAGCACTCATTTTTCTATACCTTGCTAGTCTGTTTGGGCGCTAATATATGCGCTCGCTTTGCGCCCAAAGTTATAGAGATCGCCCTAATTACTGCTCTCCTGCCAGGTCGATACGAGGGAACTTCGACAGAGCAGCCAGAAGGTCGCGAAAAAAGAAAAAAAAGGAGCATCAGCTTGCCACTCGCGTCTGGAAACCATCAACTTTCCACAACAACACATCTACACGACCATCGCAAAACCACGTCACACGCGGATGCCATATCAATCGCCTGTCAGCGGTAGATCGCAAGCTTGGAGGGACTCGACATCACAAAGAGACCCCCGGGTCTCGGGGACACGGAGTTGGCTCCGGTGGGCACAGGCACAGGCAAAAGCACAAGCATAGGCACAGGCGCAGGCACAGGATAAAGCGACCGGCATGGACACCAGTCAAGACGCAACCCCGACCGCTGGCGAAGGGCATGGTCAACTAGGAAGTAACCACCAGACCGCCGACCAACAGACGGCAAACAACATCAAAGTTCAGGACTACATCGATAACACGGACCGGGAAACAGAGTCACATGCCCATGATGCCTCCAACAGCTCGGCGAATGCCGATGGCAGCTCCTCGGCTGTTACTTCTCCCACGAACCTGTCATCATGGAGCACATCGTCCGATCGACAACTAGGCCATGGAAGCGCACAAGATCCCGAAGACCGCGTTTTCCCTATTCGTTCCGTCATCAGCGTCGGCCCAGCCGTTACACCGACAGTCAATGATGATATTTGCGCGCGTCGTAGAATGTCTCTGTCCGAGGGTCATGGGACTACGATGGGCGGAAGGTCAAACACCGCGGCAGCAACAGGAAATAACGCGACTTCCACCTGTCCACATGCGTCCACAGTTCCAACTAGCAGAGCAAGCGCCGTCGACGTCGAAAGTAGGCCCACAATCAGTCAGAGTCAGTCATCTATCTCACAACCCGATGGCGGCTCCATTTTCAGTTCATCATCCACGGGCACCATGCGACAACAACGTCGCATGAATACCATGACGGGTTCCCTATCCAGTGTCCAGGCCGATGCAGACAGATATGGAAATAATCGGTCTATAGAACTCACCCTGAGGGATTCGTCCGAGGAAGAGTCCGATGGCGGCGCAGACGGCAGCGGAGGCGGCGATGACCAGGGTACAACAGGGGAACCCTCGTCTGCTGGCAGGAAATCTCCTGACACTCTTCCCGAGACACACTTCACACCTCGCTTCAAACATGTCGTGACTGAGGAGGGCCATGCTGTGATTACTGGTCGAGATGGGCAGCTACAGCGGTGCGAAGATGAACCAATCCGTTAGTTCCCTTTCTTTTCATTTGGGTGATCTCGTAACCAATGCTAATCAATCGGACAGATGCGCCGGGCGCCGTACAGGGCTTCGGATTGATGGTGGTCATCCAGGAAGAACAAGACGGCCGCTTCATTGTGCGATTCGTGAGCGAGAACTCCAAAAGAATTATCGGCTACACCCCACAAGAGCTCTTCCGACTGAACAACTTCCTCGACATCTTCACTGATGAACAGGCTGAGAACCTGCTGGATCATGTTGATTTCATTACGGACGAGGACTCGGATCCGGCCGTCAACGGCCCCGAAGTTTTCAGTCTCTCCATCCGATTTCCCAAGGCCAAAAGTTCCGTCAAGCTATGGTGCGCAATCCATGTACATCCATCACGCCCCGAACTGACTATCTGCGAATTTGAACTCGACGACGACCACGATTACCCATTGCGACCCCCCGAGGAGGATTATCCGGACACACCCGAAGATACCCTACAGTCGAATCCTACAACAGAAGAGCTCACCGAAAGCACAGAGATCTTGAGCAAGCCACTACGAGTCTTGCGCAGTGCACGCAGGCGAAGAGGCGAGGCAGGAGCAATGCGAGTGTTTGATATCATGAGCCAAGTACAGGAGCAGTTGGCAAACGCTCCCAACCTGGAAAAGTTTTTAAAGATCTTGGTTGGCATTGTCAAGGAGTTGACGGGCTTCCACCGGGTCATGATCTATCAATTTGACTCCTCGTTTAACGGCAAGGTCGTCACCGAGCTTGTTGACCCGATGCAAACAAGAGATCTGTACAAGGGACTACACTTCCCGGCTACAGACATCCCCAGACAGGCACGCGAACTCTACAAGCTCAACAAGGTACGATTACTGTACGACCGAGACGTCGAGAGCGCGAGAATTGTTTGCCGAACGCCTGAAGATTTGGAAACCCCGTTGGACATGACGCACTCCTACCTTCGTGCAATGTCGCCAATCCACCTGAAATATCTTGCTAACATGGCAGTGCGCTCTTCCATGTCCATCTCAATCAACGCCTTTGGCGACCTTTGGGGTTTGATTGCGTGCCATTCCTACGGGCCCAAGGGGATGAGAGTCTCCTTTCCCATACGAAAAATGTGCCGACTTGTTGGCGACACAGTCTCGAGAAACATAGAGCGTTTGTCGTATGCTTCTCGTCTCCAAGCCCGCAAGCTTATCAACACAGTGCCCACCGACAAGAACCCGTCGGGCTATATAATCGCTTCTTCGGATGACTTGCTCAAACTGTTCGATGCCGACTTCGGAATGCTTTCAATACGCGAGGAGACCAAGATTCTGGGCAAGATCGAGCAGTCGCAGGAGGCACTGGCTATGCTAGAGTATCTGCGGCTGCGCAAGTTCTCATCTGTGGTCACCTCGCAGGACGTCAAGATCGACTTCCCGACCTTCGTTATCCACCAGGGATTCCAAGTCATTGCCGGTCTTTTGTACGTGCCCTTGAGCGTCGGTGGGAGCGATTTCATTGTCTTCTTCCGCAAGGGTCAAGTCAGGGAAGTAAAGTGGGCGGGCAATCCACACGAAAAGAACATCCAAGCTGGTTCCGCCGCGTACCTGGAGCCCAGAAAGAGTTTCAAGGTCTGGTACGAGACAGTTATCGGCAAGTCTCGCGAATGGTCGGAGGAGCAGGTTGAAACCGCGGCAGTGCTTTGCTTGGTGTACGGAAAGTTCATCGAGGTTTGGAGGCAAAAGGAGGCAGCCTTGCAGAGCAGTCGGCTCACTCGACTACTACTCGCAAACTCGGCACACGAAGTGCGCACGCCGCTCAACGCTATAATCAACTACCTGGAAATTGCACTTGAAGGCTCCCTCGACCAGGAGACCAGGGAAAATCTTGCAAGATCGCATTCAGCCTCAAAATCCTTGATATACGTTATTAACGATTTGCTCGATCTGACCAAGACAGAAGAAGGGAAGGATCTGATCAAGGACGAGGTTTTCGATCTACTTGCGTGTATACGTGAAGCTACGGAGGCTTTCAGTCATGATGCGAAGCGGAAGGGCATCACATACAAGGTCATTGAGCACCCCGGGCTCCCTCGCCTCGTATCTGGAGACCAGAGGCGTATCCGACAGGCAGTTTCCAACATCACAGCAAATGCGGTTAAGCACACATCTGAAGGATTTGTCAAGATTGAGTTATACGTAGCAGAAGTGATGGATAATCGGGTTCGCATCGAGATTGTGGTGCAGGACTCAGGCAAGGGCATGAGCAACGCCCAACTGGATGCGCTTTTCAGAGAGCTGGAACAAGTCGACACGGACCTTGGATTCGAATCATCTGACGAACGCGGCGACGATAAGTCGCAAAGCGGTAAAACGCTCGGCCTCGGTCTTGCAGTTGTCGCCAGAATTCTGCGAAATATGGATGGCCAACTCCGCCTAAAGTCTGAGGTTGGCAAGGGATCGAGATTCGTGATTCAATTGCCCTTCGACCTTCCCGAGGAGGGAAAAAGCCGAGATGTTGTGGCGGCAAACAGTGGTCACGTCGCACAGGCATCCATCGGTTCTAGTAACGCCTCGATTTCCGCGGCGTCCATATCAACCCAGATGCAAGACGGCGAAGTGATGCTGGTTGACCGCAGCAACAACGGCAGTTCATGGTCTGTCAACAACGCGAGTACTTCGCTGGCGTCCAAGAAGAGCTATGACGACAACCAGAGCATCGCAAGTAAAGGCAGCGGACGAAGCCAGCTCAGCAATGCGGACAGGCTTATTGGCGCCATTCAGAACCCCCTCACACTAGGCGAGCCCGAGCCAGAAAGCGTTTCTCAACACAGGAGGGGCTCGCACGGTCACTACCACGGCCCAGCTTCCAGTCTTCTCGGACCCTCTAAGGGGCGGTCCGTCAGTCCAGGGAGCCGAAAGCGGCCAGATGGTCCTGCACGGTCGGTCTCGTCGCCGAACACTAAGAAGGTTACGCCTCGAAGCCAAAAACCAACGTCAGAAGTTGCGGAGCATTCTGAGCCACCAGCAGCATCACAGGGGTTGCAGTATGTGACTGATAGCAGGGTTCCCATTAAGCCGGTGAAGCTGCCGGACGAAATGTTTGACAAGCTCGTGGTCCCGCCGCCAAGCACGTCAAAGGTGCTCTTTGAAATCAAAGATGCTGTGGCGGATAAGAAAGCGAAAGCAGCACCACGTTCTGCGGTCAAGGAAATACCACGGTCTGTGCCATTACAACCACCCGCGCCCGTCACGTCCGTGCCTGCGCAACCCCCGCAGCCCGCCAAACAAGCCTCAGCACCAAACAGCAAGTTGCAAGTTCTGGTTGCGGAAGATGACCCCATCAACGTCAAGGTGCTGCGCAAGAGACTCGAGAAGGCCGGGTACAAAGTAACTCACGCTTTGAACGGCGAGGATTGCGCAGCTGTATATGAAGACAAGCCCATGGAGTTTGACGTGGTCTTGATGGATATGCAGGTATGTTCTGCTGCCTTTTCTCATTGCTCATCCGCAAACCGACACTAACATTTTTCTGCTCAGATGCCAATCGTCGATGGCCTTACTAGTACCAGGATGATCCGCGGCTTTGAGAAATCCGCCCGGCACGGCAACGGCCAGCAGCTGTCGGCCATCATCTCGGATCACGGCCGCGTGCCCATCTTCGCCGTCTCAGCCTCTTTAGTCGAGCACAAAAAGGATACGTACGTTGACGCTGGTTTTGATGGTTGGATCCTCAAGCCCATCGATTTCAAACGCCTCGAGACTTTGTTACAGGGAATCACGGACGATAAAGTCCGGAATGACGCGCTTTATGTGCCCGGCGAGTGGGAGCGGGGTGGCTGGTTTGGCAGGAAGGGCATGGGCCATATGGGCCAGAAACAGCAGATATACCACCAGAAGGAGCACCGGCAGAGGGAGCAAAGGCGGGAGCGGGAGGAAAACAAAGAGAAGCAGGATAAGCAGCGGGAGCAGGAGGAAAAGAAAGAGAAGCAGGATAAGCAGCGGGAGCAGGAGAAGGAAACTGACGCTGCGGTAGATGATGACGGTGAGCAAGCGCAAACAGAACCGGAGCCGCCCAAGAGGATGCTTGATGTATAACAGGCAGCGATGGTTGTATTTGAATAAACGGATAAAGGTGGTAGTGTAGTGTGTAATCGGGGATTCTGGGGTCGGAAAACAAAAAAGATAATGTATAGATATTCTTTATCGTCCATGACGGGGATATAGAAGGAGGAGAGGAGAGGGATGGAAGGATGTTCGACAGGGAAGAAGGGAAAGTGGTTCACATTCTGCATATATACGGTCTATACTATACCACATACACATACATGAGAAAGTTCACTTGTGTTCGATCGTGTCTTGGTAGCGGGGTGTGTTGGGTGGAACGGGATTGTGAGCAAGAATAGAAAGGCAGGCTGCGGCGGTAAGTGGGTAGTTGGGTTGTCGACAAGGACAAGATAAATGTTATGTAGAGATACTTTGACTGTTTTGCTATTGGTGTTTGGAAGAGAAGGGACAAAAGATACCTGGATACATTATCGTATAGTACACATTTTTAATTAAGTACACAATTTTTTTGTTCTTGCCTCTGCTTTCCCCTGTTTTCTCTTCTTTTTCTTTGTCTGTGGTCCTATTGAAAGAAACCAAGTCGTCTGGTGGCGCAACCCAGCTCGTGAGGAATATGTCCAAACGAAGATAGGTGCAAACCTCGCTAGGAAATTTTAATAAATTCCGCGGGATTGTAGTATAGTGGTCAGTACTTCTCGTTGTGGTTTCTCACAGCGATCCGAGAGGACCCAGGTTCGATTCCTGGCAATCCCACTCTTTTTTACATCAAAAATTTTTTTTATTATTATTAAAAACAAAAAAAGTTGTTTTTGATGCGGAAGGTGCCAGCCAGATGGTTTCAGAGCTGTTGTTTGCTGGTACCTCCTTCGAATCCTGTTGTTGTGTCCTCTGAACTTCTCTTCTTTCCTTTTTTTTCATTGATTATTGAGCTACGTCGTTGCGTGTTCTTTGGCGGACCTTTGGTCGCCGTGGTTGGCGATTTGGGCAGGAAATCGCGATCCGATGGTAATTGGTTGATTGATGTTTTACCGAGTCTAGAAGGCACAGACAGGTGCTGCAGGGAAGATGACGATTAATGCAAAGGTAAGAACGAGCTGATGGGCTTCGTGGCTTCCTGCTGATTGGCGAGTCTTTTGTTTTCCTATGTTTACGAGGAAGGAGTAGGACGTCTTGCTGCCTGTCAGACAATCTTCCCCGGGATGGGCTTCAATCCTTCACCTTACTCTTCTCTTCCTCTTCTTCTTCTTCTTCTCTTCTCTTCTTCCTCCTCCTCCACATTACTCCCCGACCCTACCGGTGTGAGCCCGACGATATCCAGAACTCTGGTGACTTCCTCCCCTGCGGCTCTTTCTTCCCGGAGGACTCCCGAAACATTACCACAACATGATTTGCTCCGTGTGCCAGGCGACACTACAAGCTGCCATCAGCCATTTCCGACTTGCGAAGAACCAGGATAGGCAAATATTTGTCCGAGCGACATCGAATGACGAGCCCATTGAAGAGTACATTATCAAAGATCACCACAGGACATGGAATGACTTCATGGACTCCATCCACCAGAGCTGCCATATTTGTTCGGACGTCGAGGAGTGGATAGACGATACGGACTGGCGGCGCTTGGCTATCCTTTGGCGCGATATAGAATCTGGAAAGATACCTAATGCTTACGGAAACGCGGCATCTCATCTACTTATGAAGTATCAGAGACACCAAGACTATGAGTGCTTCACACTCAGCTTCGAGTTTCTCACAATACCTGAGACGAGCAATGGCAAAGCTGCCTACATGGCGGACGGATATGTGCGCCAATTCCATGCGGTGCTAGAAATCAAACAAGGTATAACAACCGGATTCTTTTAAAGTTGGCGCAAGAAGTGGTAGTGGAGAGGGAGATAAGTTAACGCTGGCCCTGCTGTTCTCGGCACCAAATGCTAATATATTCCCGCGTGGAAGGGAAACCCTATGCCGTTCCTACGTGCGAAACAAGCACATGGTCTTTAAGAGCCCAGCGTCTGGCAAGAGAATGGGTTAGTGACTGTTTGAACAATCACCACCAGTGCAGCCCCACCAAGGGTGATACTGATTGGTATCCAACGAGGCTCTTGGATCTCGGCGAATCAACAGAGGTGCGGCTCACCGAGACGAAAAATACGAAGCCCACCGGCCCGTATGCCACAGTTACTCACCGTTGGGGCCATGTTGACGAGGAGTTTGTGTTGAACAAACAGACACACCCTCTGATGATCAAGGGGTTACCCTCGGATTCATTGCCCCGGTTATTCCAGGATGTCATCTCAGTGGCGCGCAGACTTGAAGTGCGGTATCTTTGGATCGATTCGCTCTGTATAATGCAAGACAAGGACAACAAAGCCGACTGGGAGCGCGAAGCATCTCTGATGGAAAAGGTGTACTCACACTCTTATTGCAACATATCCGCAGCAAACGCCGAAAACTGTTCGCAGTCGCTTTTCAACGCCCGGGATCCTCAATCGGTCAACCCGGAAACATTTACACTGGATCTTATCGCCAATGAGAGTGGTGTAATGGCTGCGGTTTACTTCCATGTGTACAACTCTAATTTTTGGGTGCAAGACGTTACTTGGGCATTGGTGAACACCCGTGCCTGGGTCCTGCAAGAACGCATCCTAGCCCCTCGAGTTCTGCATTTCGGGAAACGTCAGTTAATGTGGGAGTGCTGTGAAAAAGACGCGTCAGAAGTCTTTGCTCACGGGCTTCATCCGGAACTTGCGGTGTCTGAATTTGTGCGATTCAAATCCATCGCCCTCAAAGTGGAACAGGGTGATCAACGGGCTTTTCGTGATATAATACCCCGACTGCCAGTGGCGCAGCACTTATGGAACCGGATTATTTCCAACTACTCACAATGCGACCTTTCTCGGCCTGAAGATAAGCTCATTGCCTGCTCAGGAGTTGCAAAAAGATTCCAATCCTTGCTAAAAGACACATACGTAGCCGGCATGTGGCGTACCAATCTCGAGACTCAATTACTTTGGACAAGATCTGCCCTTTATACCGGATCAAGACCAGACGTATACCGAGCTCCTACCTGGTCCTGGATATGTCTTGACGGCCCTGTATGGCCGTCAAGATGGCCTCAAGATGGCTGTCACATCGAAGTTGAGGATGTCCATCTCAGCTACGCGACATCCGACAAGACGGGTGACACAACGGACGGCTGGTTACGTTTGCGGGGGGTTCTGTGGGAGACCAAGCTTGTCAATTCATTGGAGCACAAGTTGGCCTTTGATCTTCTCCTGGAGGAAGTACGGTTGGCGGCTGCTCCTGCGGTCGATAATGTCGTGTCACCGATTGTGTACTTCGATATCTCAAAAAGGGACAGCGTTGACCACAAAGATGTCGAGGGCCGGGTGTTTTCCATGGTTGCACACGCAGGGACCAAGACTTTGGGTCTGGCGTTGCTACTCTTTGAGATCATTGACGAGCAACGAGGAGTCTTTGAGCGCATTGGTATGGCTGTGGTCATCCTGGAAGACCAGGCAGACCAGATACTGTCCCTCCTTACGGAGAAGCCGGGAAATCCAACCTTGCCCTGCGCTGAGTTTAAGGACGGGAAGCACACCATCATTGTCGTATAGCACACCAGGAGCGTGGATTGAAAATACAGCAGATGAGGATGACAATCTCTTTGAGAAATTGAGGAAGCTTCTGGTTTCAATACAAACACGTGGCTCGGACTGTCCAAGTTTGTCCAACTTCTACGTCCAGAGGAGCAAAGCACTCGGCCACCTTTTGCAGCTTGAGATACCAGTTGTGATATCTTTTTCCATACTTTATCAACAAAACCATCACAAGTTTGTTCATCTAATCTTCTAAGGCAAAGAAGAAAAATGGATGAATATGCCTGGAGGTACACCTTACACCCTCTAATGGTATCACTCTCCCCCTCCTTCTTCCCAGACCAACCCACCGAAGGAAAAAAAACGAAAAATGAAAAAAACAAAAAGGAAAAACGGAAGGAGAAAGGAAACAAGGGACGAGAAAGCCCAAGGGGGAAGAAAAAGGAATTAAACTAACTTCCCTATTATTTAACTCCCAGGCCACCATGCCCACCACTTTTACTTGTCTGTTAATACAAGCAAAGGCCAAACCATAGGAGAAATATGTGCCACGATCCTACCACCGAGTGTGTACCAAGCCCCTCTAGATACGATAGATCACTCACGAACAGGAACTAGAACATGTACACGCCTTACCTCCCTCAGCCACCACATAACCACATAACCAAAAACACAACCCTTCACAACTCCCATCATCATCTCATCTCATCTCATCTCTTACTTATTCTTTGCTCATTGTGTAATGTGTTACCATAGTGTTCCAGACTCCCTCCATAGGTACATACGCTTTACACCCATCATCAGCTATTACCAACCATTACCACCCACTTGTTTACGACCACATCCCCTTCTTCGTCCTTCAGTCAAGAATATCATCAACAAATTAGTTCTCGTTCAAAAGTTTTCATAGGTTTGGGAAATACAAGTCAGCGCAGTGCAGTGCAGTACACTGCACCGGAAAATAACAATCTGAGTTTTGCTTTTTGCTTCCAAAAACTCACAAGTGAAGGAAGGAAGGAGGCTCAGTCCCTAACGTAAACAATCCCAGATGAGATAGAGGTAGGTAGGCAGGTAGGCAGGCAGGGTCGGAATAACGTGACATGCCTGAGGTCAATCCATCCCACTAAATCCTAGAGGTACTACCTAGCAAGTATGGATCACAGTCTGCCTAACAGAGGGTTACCGAACTTGAATCCAAAGATGGGCATCCATAGGCGGCGACATGGATAGGTAAGCATCACTTCACTTCACATAACGAAAGGTAGACATCAATAGTCACTTCCATTTCCAGTTCTTCCCTCTTGAGTCCCGCCCATCCTTCCCTCTTCCCTCCTACTCGGACATATACTGTGTCTGCCCCATCTCTTCAAAACCGCCAAAATACGTACGCTTCATCAAATTCTACCTCTTTCACGCCATTACAATCCTCTCTTTCAAAACCTCAGCCCCAATCCCTGCGAGAGACAATTACAACCATTGGCCTTCTCAAAACATATCTCCTCCCAACTGGACCTAATAAGCACTCCGATAATAATCCGCCAACCCATCATTCTGCCCCTGTCCCTGACCTTGACTCTGTCCCGGTGCCCCAGGTGCACTTGGTCCCTCCTGACCACCCGGTGCCGACGGCGCCGACCCAGGCGGGACATAAGCCTTGTACTGATGCTGTGTGCCACCACCAGGTTGCAGAGCCGCAGGTGGCTGCGGTGCCGTCGACGACACCTCGCTACCGGCACCCTCATACCCAGCATGCGGTCTCGAAGAAGCAGCTGCCGCAGCGGCAGTGGCGGCGGCTTGGTAGGGGTTCTGGGAGTGGTATCCGCCCTGCGTGTAACCGGCGGGAACACTAGGTGCTGAGGGAGCGGAGGGTGCGGGAGCGGAGGGAGGAGGGGGAGCGGATCCTACGTTACTGCTGGGTCCTGCTCCGGGGGCGGTGGCTGTAGGGCTGGCTGGTGCATATGGGTCGTCGTTGGAAGCTCCCGAAGGTCCTTGGTTGTAGGAAGGAGCGGAGGGAGCGTTGTAGGATGGGTTAGAGAGGGGGTTGGTGCTGTGTTGAGCGGTGGGCGAGTCATAAGCCGAGGTGGAGAGCTCTTGAGGGGCACCGCCGTTTGCGCTGCTGTATGAGTTCGTGCGGTTGTTGCTTCCGGATGCGCCAGGAGGTTGGTACGGGGCATACTGGTTCCCTGGTGGCGGCGAGGAAGTCGTGTTCAGCGGAGCAGGCAGCATGGTGTTGTTGGACCCTGATGGGATGCGCTGGTCTTGAGGTCTGGAGGGACCACCATATGCTGGTTGCTGCTGCTGTTGAGGATAGGGAGTTTGCTGTTGATATTGTCCTGGACCTTCAGCGCCACCCATATGATAGGGCGCAGGAGTGCCGGCAGGGCGGATGAAGTGGTTAGGATTAGGCGACGGCGAGGTGGTAGGGTACTGAGGCGCATCTAGGTGATAGGTTTATGTACATCAGCGTTGTGTCCCTCGTTGACACTCGATCAATACATCCCCTGACCACCAAATTCTCCCACGGGCGTACCTTGAGCTGGCGCTGGAGTATAGAACCTGGGAGGCTCCTGCTGCTGCTGCTGCTGTTGCGGAGGAGGCGCACCATACCCCCCAGCTCCGTAGCTGTTGGTCATTGGAGGTCTCATTGCGTATTGGTGATAACTCGGCCCTGGTGGGTGAGACATGGAAGATTCGAGGAGCGCTTCATAGTCTCTCCTAGCCTTGATGAACTTTTCATTCAACTGCGTGAAGTCATCTGTACGCTGTTAGTTGGAACCTCTTCTCAATAACAAATAGTGCAACACTTACCCTTCTTCTGCGAATACTTCTCAATCAGCTTAATAAGCTTAGGCCGAATCGCCAGCGTCTGGTGATACAGTTTCTGTTGTTTCACCGTCAGCATATCACCCTCATCAATCGTGTGTCCGATCATCACCCACCGAAATCTCCTCATTGTCCTCCTCCCTCGGCCCCGTATTTCCAGCGCTCAAGAGGGTCAACAACTTCTCGACATTCTTGATCTCCGCAAACACCTCAGCCTCCATCTGCGCCTCACGCTGCAACTCCTCCGGTGTAGGATCCGTCAACTTCTCGACATAGTTCAGCGGGAAGATGCCCGTCTTGCCCTTGAGAGACCCACGCCACCAATCCTTGTACACGCTCTCCAGCACGGCAATGACATCACCCTTCTTGAACTCCAACTCGCCCGGCTCCGAGGGCACAAAGTCGTAGAGCGCTCTGACGCGGGACACGGTAGCGGCCGTGGTGCCCGAGGGAACCGGCTGCGGTGTTGCCGCCGCATCTGCCTGGCCAGTGGTCGGGTTCGTGCGTCCCCCCGATGCTCCTCCGGCGTTGTTGCTTGACCCGGCCGCCGCACCACCAGATGAAGACGCAGTTGCCCCACCAGCGGGTCTCCCACCACCACCCTTCTTCCGTTCCTCCTCCTGCAAGCTGAGCTGGAGAGCCATCTGGAGCTCCTCCTCCTCCTTCTGGCGGTCGGCGTCGGTGAGCACGTTCTTCTGCGGGGCGCTGGGCGGGTGCAAGGTCGGGTTGGACTGCTTGAGGCGGTAGTAGGCGTCGTACATGATGCCGAGGTCGGGTCGGACTTGAACATGTCGGACCACTCCTTCATGCGCTCGAGGATCTTGGCCTTGACTTGGGTGTGGGTGTTGCGGTCGTTGGCGAGCTTGAGGAGGGCGTCGGTGAAGGCGCGGCTCGAGAGCTCGCGGTGCATGTTCTTGCCGCAGTTTTGGGAGAGGGCGTTGGCAACCTTGGGGGGAAGCGGTCGAGTTAACATCTAGCTGGCTGGAAGACATGGGCTAAAAGGGGATGTGGTGAGGAACTCACCTCGAGGGTATACAACTGAACATTGGCGTTCCTATGGGCCAGGCGCTTGATCATGCTGTTGACTGCCTCCTTGGCACCGTTGTCATCGGTGGCTACCCGATCGCAGACCTCCATGATGGCGCCCCAGTCCTCGGACGTGAGGTTCTCGTCGGTCGCCTTGTCTGTACAAGAGCTTGGTGTCAGCACAAGTGCGAATGCATAGAAGTTGTCGAGGGAAACATACTGATGGCCTCATCGTAAGGCCCTGCGGCCGCCGCTCGAAACATTGTGATGGCTGCTTTGTCTGGTCTGGCGGTCGGTTGGTGTAGCAAGAGTGATGCGGTCTGTAGATTACGAGGAACAGAGGAAGGGTGATGGGCGCAACCTCAGGGATGTCGTCAGAATCACTTGGCGAGAGGAGAAACAGATGATGATGAAGGGACTGGAATCGTCGGCTACTACGGGAAAGGAGCTGTAGTTTCCTGCAAGGAGATACAGTCGTAGAACTTCGGATGTAATCAATCTGTCGTGGTGTGTTGCCTATCGTTCGTCGGATAATGGATGCCCAGAGCTGCGGTTGTAGATATTTGTATCGTATCGGTATTGTTTAGGCGGAGGAGAGGAGGGGGGAGAGCTCGACCAACGGAGCTGCCTGGAAGCTGGCTGGTTTTGAGCTGTGTCGAGTTATCGGGTTGATCGATGATTACTGATTCGGATATGGTGCGCAAAATGATATTGGGAAGATTCGATGTTTGTGTCTTCGGCACTCTGCAATAGTACCGGTATGTCTTGGATCCGGTGGTCCCCGCGGTGTCGAATGTTGTCGAAGGTTGTTTGGATGTTCCCTTCTCTAGATGTTCCATTCAGGTGGAAGTTGTCGCACCGGGCGGGCAGTTTGCTGTTTGGCAGCAGCGGATGACGACGGACCTCCCTCCCGCTCGTCTCGGTCTCTGTCAGCGCCCCCAAACCACTGCAACACCAACAGGGGAACTCGACACCACTGAACAAGAGCACGAGGGTGGCCTGCTAATCCAGTAAGCCTCGATTCCGTCCAATCATGCGGGGCGTTCCATGCATACAGTGGAGGACATGCCCCACCCTTCAGTGCAGCGGCATTCCGTCATTTGAGTTCCATTGCGTCGTAGTCTTCCTCTTGGCTCCTGTTGCCGCTCGTAATCGCATCAACTTTTGTTAATGGCAGTGGTGTTGGTGATACGTAGTTTTAAGATAAAACTATTCTTCAAATACTTTAGAGAAGTTCTAGACAAGACTATGAAGCTTTTCATAGAATCTTGGCGAACCCATCTTGCGAGCAGGCAAACATAACACCATATGCCCCTATCCTCTTCCCAACTTGGGAATAGTGTCAAGTCACTTACACACAGCCCGCTGGGCCTTGGGTTGGTCCTTGTCCCATATGATCTACATTGATGAATATCATATCCACAAGCCACCACAAATCACTTTTCGGCATCGCAAGGGGCTTTTTGACTTCTTATTTTCCGATATCTGTAGTGCTTGAAAATCAAACACTATGTCTAACAGCCATTTGCTGAGGCTGGTATAGGCTTCCTGAATATGAACAAATAAGTGTAAAGAGCCTTCCTATTCACACCAGTAAATCTCCAACGATGTTGGCCCGAACCAAAATACCCGCGAGCCCGTACGGCATAAGAAAGAAAACAAAGTAGTTCTTAAGAACGAAGAAACCCAACTTGGGCTCATTTCGAGAACAGCATCTGATTCCTCTGTCGCTGTGATCTCTAATCTGTAGAATGTAGACATCAACCTCTCCCGACTTCCCGGGTATACACCGCTCCCGTACTGTGATCCAGAGCGATGCAGTGCACACACACCCACACACACCCATAAGTGACCAACTCGTCCTACCATCCCCGACGAGTAGTCCCCCTAACCTCATAGTCTCCTTCATCTTCCACACTTCCACCACCAGTATTCCCACTAGCCTCTCCAGTTCCCGGAGCTCCTCCCCTCAGCCCCCTTGGAGATCCTCCCAACACACCGCCGCCTCGTGCTTCTTCCAAACTGTGCCTCGAAGGCCTCTCGAGCTCCGACATCGCAAACAACAATGGCTCGTCATCGGTGCCATCCTCACCCTGTCCAACACCCATCCCGCCCCTTCCAGCCAAGGTACCCATATACCTCATCCCGGTGGTGACCGATCCCCTACTCGGTAAAGGCGGTGTTCCTCTAGTGCCGGATCCGATCCCGCTACCGCGCTCTTGCTGCTGCGTGGAACTTGTCGTGCCATGGTAGCTGTAACGCGACCTGTACGGGGTCCGACTGGTAGTCATGAGCCTAGCCGGCGAATTTGTCGGCTGATCCTCGTTTCCAGTCTGTCTCTGCTCAGCCGAAGCCCTGATATCTGCCGCGGGCTGTAGTTGCTGCAATCCTGCCATTCCACCCCCTGCCGAGCTGCCCTCGTTGCCATCGCCGGAATTTCTTCGCTGCAAAGCAAGCAGGGTGCTCAGCGAGGGCGCCTCGCTGCCGTCTGCTCCGACGCTCAGGCTCCGCTGGGCGATGTCCAAATCATCTTCTCCCGTTCCGACGGCAGCTCCAGCCGCCAACGAGCGGTGTTGCTGGGCCGCGGAACTCGCTCGGCGGTTCGCGCCGCTACCCACATGAAGCAGGCGAGGAGAGAGCGGGATGTCGATCGCCGCCGAGACGGCGCCGCCCCCAGTTTCCTGTTGGCGGTCGGTTTGCGTGGCCTCATTGCCATCCTCTTCCTCCTCCTCGGTGGGAACCACATGGGACCTCCCTCTCCTGGTGTAGCTAGCCTGGGCCGGGTAATCAATAATCGAGTTCTCGCTCAACCGACTAGGAATCGCGGGCGTGTGAGGCGTATGCGGGCTCAGGGGCTTTCCGCCCGGTGAGCTGCTGACGCTCGCACCACTCATACTGATTCCCGGGTTTCCCAGGCTACCTGGCATGTTAGGCATATGTCTGCTACTCGAGCTCGAGCTCCGGTGCAAAGTCGAAGACCCCATCATCATGCTCTCCGTCAGCGCATTGTTGGAGTCCCTCATAAGATGGAATTTGTTGAGCTGTGCAGCAGTGCGGCGAGCAGCAGCTGATTGCTCTCCCTTCTTGGTAGCCTCAAAGCTCGGCAACTTCTTCCTGTTGTCGAGCTCCTTAAGGAACTCCGAGATATCGTCATCTGTTTGGAAGGAGCCTGAACTGGCCACTCCACTGACAGGTTCGGCGAGGAGGGCCGAGCCAGGTTGAGCCGATGAAGACAGGCTTTGTCTGCCACTGCTACTGGCTTCATCATCGCCCGTCTTGCTTTGGCCGCCGAAGGAGGTCCTTGATCGGCGATGGCTGAAGCTACTGCTATACCGACTTTGGGGCCGTGGTGAGCTAGACTTTGGAATATCCGTTGGAACAGCTGCACCTGGGCCACGCAAAGAGGCCGCCATTCCTGCTGTAAGCGACGACCTGTTTCTGGCTTGTGAGATTCCGCTCAAACCAGAAGGCCGTGGAAGCGAATGTGGCGAAGCAGGAGATCCATGGTCTGGAAGTCTGGGACTGCCGGATATCGACCCAGCCTTGAATGGTTGGAACGAGATCGAAGGTCGTCTGCTGCCTTCAAGATCCCGCAATGTCCGACTTGATGCACCACGAATGGGCAGAGAATGCGATGGTTCTGACTGGTCAACACTGGCTGCAGAAGAGCCTGGTGGCGAGCTGGTATCTGAACCGGCCGGCCGAACTGCCTTGAGCGCCGAGATGGGACTTGTGCCGAATGCGCCGGCGCCATGAAATGTCGATAGACTGCCATATGTCTGATGCGGCTCTCGGTTGCCTCGTCCTAGGCGGTGTGAGGGCAAAGATCCGGGTTCGGCATACGAGTCTGCCCGGCCGTGGCTGACGGGTTGCGGTCGTTGAGGTACTGAGGGCTTGAAGAAATCCTCGTCTACGCCCATGAGCCGCGAGCTAAGCAGCGCATCGGCATCCTCGACCCGAAACGTGCAGTCATTCCGATAGATAACCGAAGCATTGAAGCGGCCTACGGGTACTTCTAGATCACCGAACATGTACTCCGTTACTACATCCTTACTGTCAGAAAGGGGTTGCCGCAGCGGATCGTAGTTGAGGAACTCGGCCTCGGCCGGCACAATGCGGCACTTTACTTCCAGGGCCGGATGAATGGCCTTGGTCATGGTCTGCTGGGAGAACTTCCAGCCGGGCATAACCCTCGTGGCCAAGAACAGCGACCGGAAGAATACTATGCTCCGTTTATAGATTGTGGGCAGGCTGGGCCCAAAATCTTGCAGAGCGTCATCATTCGGAATGCACTTGAGCTCGATGCGCCATCGTTCCAAGATTACCTCGGTATTTCGTTTTTGTAGGTGACGTTTCCGTGGTGAATCCTCGCTCGATTCCGAACTGTTCAGGGCTTCCAGAACATCCCACCTCTTGCCATTCTCATCCACCAGTGCGAGGCTGTGACTGCTGGAAATGCGCGATGCGTCGATGTAGGTCTCGATGATCATGGGCGGTGGACGATTCGTGAAGCTGTCGCAACTCCTGTAGACGCGGAGGTCATCCTTGAAGTCTTCGGTATCCTCGGTCTCTATCGAGAACTGTATTTCGTCGTCAGCGATTTGTCGTACATGCCACCGGGGGAATGTCTTGGACCGAAACCCACCCATTTATTAAACCCTTTCTTGGGCCCGGGCGTTAGATGCTGTCGAGACCCGATGATGAGGACGGCGGCTTTATAGTAGAAGTTCTGCCATTCATGTCAGTCAGCCAAGGATGCTGCTTGCTGGGCGATAAGGGCGGCTTTGTCGAGATGTGCGCACCTGAATGATCTGATCCAGCTTCTTGATGGCATCCCGACTTGCGGCGTGCGCGAGGGCATCGCCGCCATCCTGACCACCACCCCCGGCTCCGTCCCTATCCGCGGCGTCGGTGCTGGTGCGAGACCGGGGATCCCTCTGGTTGTTGGTGCGTGTGGGGTTTGTCTGAGCAGAAACTGCGGGGGAGGAGAGTCTCGGGGGATGACGAGATTGTTGATGCATTATGGATGGCGGATGTGGCCAGTCGGCGGCGGGTATGTATAAGTGATGTCAATGTCAATGAGCGGCGTGCGTGGGATGCTTGACATGGGCGCCAAGCCCCGGCTCCGAGTGTGACTGATAACGAGGTCGCGAGGCTGCCGTGTCTGTCAAAGCGAGCGCAAGATGGAAGGGCGTTAATACGGGGACGATGGCTGAACGGTCGGATGGAAAAAGGGGGCTGCGTCGAGAGCGGCGTCGAGAATATTCGAGTGTCTAGAGGATGGTCGGGGAAAGGCGAGGCCAGCGGACCTTTGCATCCATCATTTGTTATCGGCGACCAGTCGGATAAGGCAGACAAAACAGAAGAGGAAGACAATGGAAGAACAAGAAGGGGATGAAATCTATAGTCTAGCAAAATGGAGGTTGGGAAGAAACAACACGAGGTATAATGGGTCGTCGTCGGGTCGTGCCACAAGGCAGAATCTGAGAGGCCGATGTCAATGTAGGGGGGAAGGTAGGAGGATGGAAGAGGAGGAGAGAAGGTGTGGAATTGGTTGGGATCCAGCTCGGGATGACTTGGTTGGCGGTGACTGTCACTGTCAGAAGAAGCGGGCAACAACACCCAAGATATCGCGGAACAACACCTCTAACAGATAATAACAGAATCCCAAGACAGGTTCAATGGGCGCAAGGTGATCACTGTTAGCAAAGCACGTCCCTCTGCACGTATCTCCAGCGCGTCAGAGAAGCGTGTAGAGTGGTTCCAGTGAGGCAGGTCCGGGGGTTTCAGGGTTCGTCGTGGCGGCTCCGGAGAACTCCAATCGGCAGTGGGCCAATGATTGGCAATCACCAGGCGCAATCCCGCCTTGAGTGGAGTTAAATGGCTGCGTGCATGGGGGAGCTTTGTTACTGTCCACCACCCACTGTCTGGATAGCACACCGTTGACATTGTTATAAATGTTAATGTGTTACTCCCCGAGCACGCCATCAAACGTCGTGTCGAGGTTCGATATTTGCCTTAATTTCCAAAGTCCTTCGTGTCTTAATCATCAACCGGGTATAAAGAATAAAAGAGGCGGCAAAAAGATCTCAGATGACACTGTCCAGGCGCGGGCCTTGCCGTGGCGGCCAGGTTCCTGGTGACTACCGATAACACACTTATCACTAACAAGGTCGCTTGTGTCCCTTGTGACTTCACTTTGGATGCCGTGCTGCGCCTTTCCTTCCACAACCCCGACATTGTCTCGGTTGACTACCGTAGGTACCTCGCAGCCCTTCTTTTTTCCTCGAAGTGCTTGTCTGTTTAATGCTGCAGTGTATCAATATGGAATAAGGTACGTAAGTAGACAAAGTGACAAGTCAAGGGGGAATTGGGAAGCACACCCGTCCAAACTCCATCGTTGCCTGGGTGGTGTTAAAGAGTGGTTCTCACACCTCTTGCTAGTTAGTTTAGACGCCAACCTCCCCCGGCAGTGGGCATGCCAGAACCGCCTCGTGATCACCAACTTATCTTTCGTCATCGAGTCATCGACGATACAAGTGTCTCTAAAAGGGGTGGGCGGTCAAGCTAGAATATGGCAAGTTCCCTTACATCCAACATCTCCATCTTGGCTCGCCTATATTCTTCCACCATTGACTCGAGTTGTTTGCACGCTTGTTTCTTTTTGTGAAGAGACAATGAAGATGATGCAACCATTTCATCCATTCATCACCTACACTACCTACTAATGTACGTTCCATGCGCGATAAGGCTGCCTTACACTACTTCCGCTTCACTCACTCCCGCGAGGCCGATCGCTTTTATTTGATCCGGCCATCCAAAACGAACAATACTAGGATCGACAAGCCAAGAACTTAGTTCCCTCACAGTTATCACGGCGCGCTCTTCTCATACCAAGAGCCAAGTCTTTCCTCTCTTTGTCCTTTCCCTATCACCATCTCGTCTTTATTCGACCCATCCAACTCACTTCAGTTGATAAACTACCGATACCCAAATGCTGTACCTGCCTTTCCCCTCTTTCTTTGTTTTGCACATTTTGCGACAGGAAACCGAAGCGAGCTCCCCTCATCGGACTGTACATACGGTACACACACGCATACCAGTAGGTGCCTATCACGTACATACAACCAGCATCGGTATCTGCCTTGAGACCGCCTGCCTACCTGCCTACCTGCCTACCTGCCTACGCAGCCGTCGTCGTCGATTGTCGATTGTCGAATGAAACACCCGCTGAAGCCTATCTACCTATTTAGACAGAGACTGCGAACCTGCAGCAGCAGCAGTCCAGAAGCGGTGCAGTGTAGTGAACCAAAGACAGCCTTAAGTTTTATGCACAGTTTCGCATTGACGATTTGAGTGGAAGTTAGCCTTACGAGCGGAAAGGTGTCCGTCCTGCAGCGTTGGTGTTAAACCACACAGTACCGGTATGAGCTTCAGATTTCCTTTTAGGGTGCCGATTTTGTCCGAAGGGTTCCAGACTGAGTGAGGCTGTTTGTTGTTTATTAGATTGATCCGATTTGATCTGATCTGCCGTCTCTGGTAAAAACTTAAACATGGGGGTTTTATTGATCCATAGACTGTTGATGTTCCCGTTACCTGTGCCACGCCGCCGCCCACTTCTCCTATTAGGAGTTGCATACATAAGGCACTTTTTTTTCTTTTTTGAATCTGGGGCACGTAGGTCGTTGAACTTTCTTTGCTCGCCTCACCGATATTACACCACAGGTAGTGATTTGGACAACAAAGTCAAGTTGTGCACTCCATCGAGTCCGATTCCGAATTACAATTGACGGTAGTGAAACAGCATTGTAGGCAGTGTCTAAGTCTGAGAAAGTTTGGGGCGGCGAACAGTTGTGGCTTGTGAATTAAAAGACATAGATTGGTTACACTCACGAAGTTTAATAGATATCTATGTAAGCCCTGATGATAAGGCGATTGGAGCTCGACGAACCTCGAAGAACAATAACGACTCTTTGGTACATGCATGTCCAGATTGAAGCGAAGGAAATGGGTGCTAGTAGCACTATGCAACTGTTTGAAGCTTAGTTCCATTCCACGTCTAAATCAAACTGAATTCTTGAAACTGTGGTTGCTGTTTCTCGATCTGTCGGATCGCGTGGTTGATACTGCTGCATGTCAGAGATTCTGCCTAGAGCTACTGGACCAAAAAGTTGAACAGTCCCGCTCGCTTTCAAGGACAAGAGGTCGTTAGGCTGCAACAACACCAACACGTGGAAAGAAAAATATGGGGATATCACCAAACTTACGAGTGCGGTTCGCTGCTTTATGTGGTTGTTCTTTGGGAGGAAGCATCAGTACGGAGATAAGGCCCGTCGAATCGTCAACGTAGAAAACTGCGGTGGTTGGAAAATGTTCGAAACCTAATACCCAAAACGCTAGTTATCAAGCTCATCGTATCACGATATGCCACATACATAGCGTACTACATACAACTAACAGATTACAATATCGGTACACAGTTGCAGCCCAGCAACTAACAGTAGAAGCAGTAAGCAACCAACAACACCAGCAGCGGAGTAGCGATGCATTTCCCTCCCGTGTATATGCAGCCTTATGAGGTGAGCAGAAGAAAATAACCAAAAATCCCCATCTTTTGTCCCGTGCCGACGCTGCCGTGTCCTTTGTTTCCTTTTGACCCCTAATAAACCTTAGTCTCTTCTGTGCACGGATCCTGCAATAAGCAGGGCGCCCGTTCAGACAAAGCCCAACACGACACTACCTCCCAGCAGCCGGGATGGCGGGACCGGTGGGACCGGTGGGAGTCGAACCAACGCCGGCAACTTGCGTGGCATCTTGTCCTCCTTTCCTTCGATCCCTTCCCCGGTCCCTCCTCCTGGGGTTACTGCTCCCCTCTCCTCCATCTGCTTTTCTAGGATATTGTTGTTGAGGTGTTGCTACTCCACCATGCCCCTTTGGACCTGTTGGAATCGCTGATGTTGCTGATGTTGACGCAGCAACTCCCTTTCCGTCGCCGGGCGCTGGCCCATCTTTCTTACCACCCAGACCTCCTTTTCCACGCCCACCCCTCCCTTCACCCTTCCGTTCTCCGGCCTTGACTTCACTACCTCCCGGCTTTCCGGCGCCCTTTGCAGTGGCATCTCCACCAGCCTTTGAAATTTCGGCAGCGTTGGCGTTGTCTTTGCCTCTTCCTTTACCCCTTGCCTTACCACTCTTCTCCTTCTTCTCCTCTTTCTCGGTAGCCTTTCTCTTCCTTTCCTCCTCTTCCTCCTGTAGTCTCTTGCTCTCGGCATCCCACCATTCCTGGAATGCCTGCTCCTCTTGAATCTCCTGCAGGGACCGCTTGGACATGGCCCCCTTGATCCGCTCTTGCTCGAGCTTTTGTTGCAGGATGATCTCCTCCATGCTAAAGCCCAGCAAATGCTCGTCCTTGCGCGCAGGAGCGATGTACACTTTGGAGTGGGGAACCATTGGTTTGCTGGCAGACTCCCCGATGCTTGGGAACTGCTGGGCTGGAGGTTGGGGACTAGGACGGGGAGCTGAGGAAGAGGAGGGGGTAGGTGTGGACTTGGGCTTGGGGCTAGGGTTGGCGGTGTGAACATTGTTGTGGCTAGACATCCGCTGACCAGAGAATCGCGTGTCTGGCGATGCTGTCCTTCGGGCAACGGGTGTGGTCTCCGCTGCAACCAGCGGCTTTGCTACTGGTGAGGAAGACACAGGAGGATTGACATCTAGGGGCGTCGGCTTGGCATTGTTGGCAGTGACCATCTTCCAAGGAGGCGGCGCCTTCGATTCCGTGTCACCCCATGCCGGTTTGTTTGCAAGGGAAGCCTTGGCATAGTGCAAAGCTGCCTGAGCTGCCGCCTGTTCCTGCTGCTGTTTCTTCCTCTCCTTCTGAGACAGCTTGGGCTGTGCGACCTTTGGCGCCGATGTACCTTCGTTGCCCATTTGTTGTTGCTGTTGTGCAGCCAAGCCCTCTGATAGGGCTGACCGACCAGCTGCAACTGGAGTAGATGTAGCCTCCAACTGGATGATGTCTCGC